AGCAGGCCCCACACTTAGCTGCCCCCCCTTCCATTCAGAACACAGAAGGGACCAGGGACCCCAGAGGATGGGGGGCTTGGAGTGCTGGGAGGAGCCTCAGAAGTCTCCCACTTCACCCCCCCGAATCCGTCCAGTGCACCCCAGAAACACCCCTCCCCCCTGTCCCAGCCGAGCATGTCCCTCTCGCACGGAGGCTCGGGTTCTGAGAGGCCTCGCTGGCAGCTGCACCTCCCTCTGTGGTTGCTCACCGCGCCCAGCTCGGACCCCAAAGCGCGGAGTGCAGAGCCCGCTGGACAGGACGGCGCAGCGTCGAGCACATACACATACACTCACACATGCACACTCACACACACATGCGCACACACAATACTTACACAAGCATATTCACACACATACATACACTGACACATGAACACACATGAACACACTCATGCTCACTCACATGGTCCTACTCAAAGACACTCATAACATTCTCACACATACTCATACACATGCAAACACTTGTACATGTACATACGCATGTCTACTTTCCTCACAAACATGCACACACTCAGACACTTTCACACACTCATACACACTTGTGCACACGTGCATACACACACACACACACACACACACACGCCCCTGCTTTAGCACACGTGGCTGCACTGGTCCTGCCCTGTCCTCACCATTTTCTCACTTCCTGGAGCAGGAGCGCAGGGGTGGAGTGTGTGGTGGGGGCACAGACCGGTGGAATGTCCTGGCAGAACTCTCATGAGCGCCCAGGGCCACCAAGACGGTGCCCGGATGGCCACTCCTATGTAACTGGATGAAACTGTGTTCAAGAGGGACTGCAGGGGCTGCCACTTACCAGCCACCTCTTGAGCGTGATGGGGTTGATGCTGAAGTCTCTGACCAGGCAGAGGTCGTGGTACATGTGCTCCAAGCAGCTCAGCATCTGCGGGCACAGGAAGAGCAAAGGGTGGTCAACGGCACGCGGGCCACCCGCCCGGCCCTACCGTCCCGGGAGAGGTCCGCAGGGCAGGCCGGGCAGCTTCTCCAGGCCCGTCCCCAGCGGGGAGCCCTCCCTGGCCCGGGTCACCCGAGAGTGAAGCCTGTTGACTGGGGGTTCAGCATCCCGCAGAAGGGATGGGGGTTTGAAAGAGCAGTCGGTGTTCAGAAGTCAATGGAACTCTATACAAGAAGGAACAGGGAGGCTGGATGAGAGGGAGTGTGCTGCGCCCAAAGGACCACATCAGAGATGATTTCACTTATTTCCACTCACAAGGCACAATCTCAGAGGGTCAACCTGGCAGTCGGATGCTCCGGGACTCGGCTCCATCTAACTCAGACCTGAGAGCCGTGCCCCAGAGAAAGGCCCTTCACTCGCCTCAGGTCTGAGCCAGAGGGTAAAGGGGCCAACAACTTCCATCCCCAACACCCTCATTGTGCCCCCTGGGGCCTTGAAGCCACTTATTAATGTGTTAAATTTAGTCCAGAAGGTGAGTGCATTCTGGGTAAGTGCCCTCCCCTCCCTGCAACCTTACTTCACGGACTGTCTTCTAAAAAAAAAGAAAAAACCCCTGCTCACGTTGAAATAGATTTTGTTTTCAGTCCCAAAGAGGATTTACTGTCACTGTTATCATCTATTTAAATATCGCTCAGAGCTCTGGAGCTAATTAAGCGAGGGAAGACAGATTAAATTATTTTTAATAAATGAAAGTTTGACAAAGTGGGCTTTGCCTTCTGGGAAAGCAGGCCTTGGATGGGAAGCCCAGGGAGACAGACCTGCAAAGCAGGGGCAATGAAGATGTCACCGGGGGTGGGGGTGGGGGTGCAGAGCTGACACCGGCCAGCGCCTCTCTGCCCAGGGCCACACGCCTGTGCCCTGCCTCTGTCACATCCTCCAGCTGCCCGGTGCCTGCGCAGGCATGGCAGGCCCTCCAGACTGAGGGGCTGCAGCCCCGACACCCCTTGCCCCACCCACCCGCCCATGTGCCGCTCCAGGCAACCCCCGCGAGCTGCATGAAATGATCAGCAGACAAAACCGTCTGGTGCCATGTCTGAGGCACGTGTGGTGTCTGGAGCAGGAGTGATGTGGCCATGCATTTGTCTCCAAGCTGGTGGCAGGTCCTGGTCAGACAGCTGGGCGGTGGGGAGTGTGGAGGACTCAGGAGGTGACCAGGAGGCCCAGCCTGTGAGCCCTGTGCTCAGTAGAGGCGGCCACGCTGCGCTTCCCGGCCCCGGGGAGCTCTGACAGCAGCTTGCTGGGGGCAGCAGCAGTGTGAGGTCATGGACTCCTGGTCTGTGATGGGGGAACGCTGGGCTGGACCCGGGGGATGCTGGGCACAGCATCTCTCCTGCTCGAAGGGAGAGGTGAACCGTCACCACTGGGGGCTCTGACGTGCTCAGGGTGCAAGGTGCTTTGTGGGTGGCCAGATGCAGTTTCTCGGGGGCCAGGTGGGACTTCTAAGTTTTTAGTTGTGACTCTTTAGTTGATCATCTTTGCCGCCCATGGTCCAAAATTCATTGCACCCCCAGATTTGCCAGAGGCCCGGGGTCCAGTCTTTGGGCACCTCTGGTTGTCACCACAGGCAGCTGGAAGAATCAGGCCCCTCACAAGTCTCTGAACCTCTGAGAGGTGCTGGCAGGAGCCCCAGGCCGGCAGGTGGCCACACAGAGGCCGAGCCCACCCGCAGGGAGCTGTCTGGCTCCTCCCACGCTGGCCCTGGCGCTGCTATATGTACACCCCGCATGTACATGCACCGCACATGTACATACACCCTGCGGGTACATACACCCGCGTGTCGGAGGACAGGGAGGCGGCCTTCCCATCATGGATGCGTGAATCCTTCACCTCTCAATGTGAGGCCCGTTCTCTCTGGCCACATCACCCTGTGCTCAGAGGAGACAGAAATGGCAGCGATGCCCACACAGGTGCCTTGCCATCAGGGGCCAGGCTCCCCTCTTGCTCCTCGTGGCTGAGAACAAATGACTTCAGGGACTGTGCTTTTTCTCGATGTCTCTATAGTGGTGCTTGTCCACCTGCCGGAAGCAGGGACCTGCACGGTCTGGGCCATTGAGACGGTCACACCTCTCATTTCTCCAGGCCACGCAGCCTCCCGCACCCGGTCCATTTCTCACGGTGCACTGATCTGGCAGGTGATGGCCGCTCCCCTAAAATGCCTCCTGCTCCTTCATATCCACGTTCCTGGCCTGCACGCGGCCTGGACGTTGTGGAGCACGTGCGCCATCTGGCCCAGTGTTTGCTACGGGACCATCCCTGGCACACAGGCGGCTCCCCTCAGGCTGGCTGCGGGGGGAGGAGGCGGAATCTCGGGTTTCTGGTCAGTGCTGCTGCGGCTTCCCCTTTGCTGGGGGAGCAGGAATGAGAGCACAAGCAGGGTTCACTCGGGGGACCCCAGCGCCCTGGGAGCGGGCCAGCGCTGGTGAACCTCCCTTTCCTGCCGTCGCAGGGATGTTGCTGCTGCCGCTCTCGTCCAGGCGGGCAGCTTGCTGGGGGCAGCCTTTCTGCGTCTCTGCTACTGCAAAGCTGGGAAGAGTCCGTAGATTTTGGGGGCCTGATGTCTGTGATGAGGGACTTTCTGTGTTCTTGAGGTTCAGAAGAGACGGGTATGATTGATATGATTTGGTAGCTAGACCAAACAAAGAAAACCTCCTTTTTTGGTGTTTTCTCAGCAAAAGGGAAAGTAAAAAAAAATCTTGTTAAGCGCCTCGCCTCCCAGGTCCTGTATGTGTGCCTGTCGGGGGCCGGCTGCGCCTTTCCCCATAGAAGCCGCTCTTGGGTGGGGGGTGTATCTCCACAGTGTGGGGGGTCTGTGGGCAGCAGCTGGCAGCTGAGAGGGTATTTGTGGGGTCAGTACAGGGCCCCTGGGGACTCTCGACGATGATGCTCCCTGGGGTGAGCACCTGCAGCCAGCATCCCAGGGTTCAAGCCCCTGCACTGGACCACCTGCTCCTCTGTCTGACACCCCCTTCCTGAGTTCTGTCTCTAGGACCCCCCTGAGTCAACCAAGAGTCAGTTTAACTAAAATCTGGAGAATCAAGTGAAAAAAGCAGCAAGAAGAAGAGAGAGGAGAAAGGCCAGGGGGAGAGTGACGGGGATGCTTCCCTCACGTCCCGAGACGCCGGTCCCGGGGGCTCCCTCACTCACCTCGTTGGGCTCCCAGAGCCAGACGTCGAAGGTTGGTTTGCGCAGGCCCTCTATGGTCTCTGGCGAGAGCAGGTACTGGAAAGGACAGGAGGGCGTTAGCCTCTGGGCTGAGCCACGGCCGTCACCTCTGGGGGACGGGGACGTTTCCTCTGTCCCGCAAGGACACCCGTGTACAGGCTTGCAGGCTACATTCTGCAAGAATTCTGGCGGCGGGCAAACTCCAGGGACGGGAATCCCACCCCGAGGCCGGGCCAGAGCGCCCGGCATGCCCACGTGGGTGCGAGGGACCGTTCTGGGGTGACGGGGACGCTCCATCCCTTGACTGTGGTGGATGCTCCGTGACTACACAAGTTTGTCAAAATTCACCATACAATGCGACTCACTGCACGTAGGTAACATCTCAATAAACTTGATGTGAAAAAGCAAAGTGAGGTCACGGGGAAAATTGCTTGGCGTGAGTCCAAATACTGGCTCAGAAGCGGGTTTGGGTTTGCTTTTTGCGGGAGCCCATCTGGTTTAGCTGTGGGCTGAGGGCCTCCAGGACACGAGTCAGAGTTAAATCGTCACAGGAAACAGGACTGCGATTTTAGACCTCAGCCAGTCATGGTGTTTTGGGATTAGATATCATGTTCCCCAAGGGTCATGGGGTTTCGGTTTATTTTTTTTTTAGGAACCGCAGTGGAGCATTGAGACCCTGTACTTTGGACCTAGGCTGGGCCTCATGACTCCCTGGGGCTGGAACATGAGAGATTTAGGTCACATTTTCCTACAGAAGAGACACCGTGGTGTCCATCTGAAAACCCTGGACAAGCCTGGTTGGTGTGGCTCAGGGGTTGAGCGTCGACCCAAGAACCAGGAGGTCACGGTTTGATTCCCAGTCAGGGCACATGCCTGGGTTGTGGGCTCCACCACCAGTAGGGGGCGTGCAGGAGGCAGCAGATCCATGATTCTTTCCCATCATGGGTGTTTCTATCTCTCTCTCCCTCTCCCTTCCTCTCTCTGAAATCAATCAAAACATATTAAAAAACAAAAACAAACAAACCACGGACAACCTGCAGGCCCCGGGCCCCTGTGAGCAAGCGGGAGCCGAATATCAGCTCAAGAGGGCGCTGAAGGTCAGCTGGGCCAGGGGCTCGTCCACTCACCAGCTGAGGGCTCTGCTGAGGTGGGTGACCACCATCCTGAGACCCCCCCTCCCCAATTCCTGGGGCCCTGCTGCTTTCACAAGGGCCCGGGGTCTCTGGTCACTGAGAAATCTTTTGTGACCGAAAAGCAAAACTTCTCATAACAGCGTATTGTTCAGGGACAGAAGATCCAAGAAAACAGAATTTTAAAAATTTACTTAAAAATTTAGCCCTTACCTCCCGCCACAGTAAGCTATGGTCTGGGACCACGTTGGCTAAACAAATGTCAAAGAGAAAACTATTCTGCTTAAGGAGAACAGGTGCGTCCGGCAGCCCACGGCCGCGGCAGGAGCTGTTTCTGCAAATGTGCAGACATTGGGTGGCCAGGAGGCCAGGGTGGCCGAGGGCGGGGCCTGTGCCTGGGGCTGTGGACACAGATGCTCTATCTTCAGAGGCAGAATTTCATCTTACCTTGGGATAAGCGGGGACATCGCGTTGAGGTGTCAACTTCTTGTTGTTATCCAAAAAACTGTACTTACAGGGGCAGCTGGTCCTGGGGGGAGGGGGTGGGGAGGGAAGCAGAGGTTAGTCTGGCACCGTTGCTTCAGTCTGGGTGTTCACGTGGGCAGGGACTGTGGGCACCTCCTCAGAGCAAAACAAACTGCAAACCCCATGCCAAGCCCAAAGCAAACCCTACAGACGCCCTTGGTCGTATCTGTTGTGGGAGGGTAAGTCATAAAGCCAGAGACGTCTTATCACTGACCCCCAGGGCCCCTGCTGGGCCTCCGCAGGTACAGTGGGCTCTTGGAAACATGGGTCTGCATTACAGATAAGCTCCTAAAAACTTTTTAAAATGATGAAAGCAAAGCGCGTTCCTTCCACAAAATTCAACCAACACAGAAGTAAAGTAAAATAAAAAAAAATCGAAGTTCCTATGTCACCCCCTCCTTTCCTCTTAAGTCGAACACCCTGGGAATCCCTGCTGCGGTGTGGGGTATTCTTCCGGAACATTCTAGGCCTGGACACACACGGACAGCCCCGTGCTTTCAAACAAAGGTGGGATTGTACAAACGTACTCCTCGGCCGGGCCGCTAGCTTTTTCACCTAACGCACCACACACCTGCTGGTGTTGCTTCACAGAGCCCGGCCTTGTTAAAAGCAAGCCCTTCTCCGGTGCCCGGGGGTGTGGCCGCACTGCACACTATCAATCCGGCCCCCAAGATGACTTCAGGATGCCCCCAATTTTCCCATCACATGCGTGCTGACAGGTGGATCTGCTACCTGGCTCGGTCTTCGCCATTACTCAATGTCAAGGTGTCCCACAAAAGAACAGAAGGAAAGGAGCCAGGTGTGTTCTGGATAGAAAGCCACCCTCCGGTATTGGGGAGAGTGTGCTGGCCCGTGGGGTCGTACCCAGGGCTGGACGTGGAGGGCCACCCCAGGAGATCTGGCCGCTCTGTGGCCCCCTCCCCACCTGGGGACCTTAACTTTCTTGTATGTGAACGTGCTCTCCATCCTCCCGCTGATGGGGAGCACAAGGGGGTGGGGGTGTCTGCACCCCTCTGTCTGAGATTCTCAGGCTGGTGGGCGGGAGCCAGCACATCAACGTGCCACAGCAGCAGCTCGTGCGGTTTGTGGGAGAGCCATTGGCGGCCGTACAGTAAGAGCCATGAAGAAATGCACACCCTTTCAGCTCGAATGTCTACCCTGGGGGATTTACATTAAGAGAAGAATTAGACACAAGCAAAGAGTTCTGTGCACAAAGGTATTCATCGCCGCGTTATCTGTTGGTGTAAAAAACACCGAACCGAACGAGAAGTGACTTAAATGGCCCCAAATGGGAACTAATTGAAGCCGTTTTGGCACAGAGTGATCTTTAAGATAAATGAGGAAGTGATGTGAGGTGAGGAAAGTTTGGGTGAAAAGAGAAGCGTCGCCCACAGCATGTACTGAACAGGAGTGCGGAAATACTCTCCCAGGCGCGAGCAAACACGCTCACGGTGGGTGGACAGCCAGCCGGCGCTGTGCCCTCTGGAAGAAGGGGTGAGCCACATGTGGGTTAAATCTGACCTATTTCTCTCTCACAATGCCGTGTGTGAAAAAATTAAAACATAGTATTTCTTAGTTGTTTTTTCAAAACTAGATGTTTATATGCAAAAAACCTCCCCCAAACAAACAAATAAACAAAAATGCTTATGGGAAATCAGTGTCCGCATGTGAATTGGGGGCCTTGTGGCTGCTGTCATCTTGGCGATTCACCCCCACATCAGGATAGTCTGATGGCTTTACAAGGAGGCTGTGCTGCTTGCAAACTCAGGATAATCAAGCTATTTTCTTTCTGAAAAAGGAGCCCTCGGTACTATTTTTTTTTTTAAATATACTTTATTGAATTTTTACAGAGAGGAAGAGAGAGAGATAGAGAGTCAGAAACATCGATGAGAGAGAAACATCGATCAGCTGCCTCTTGCACATCTACTGGGGATGTGCCCACAACCCAGGTACATGCCCTTGACCGGAATCGAACCTGGGACCTTTCAGTCCGCAGGCCAACGCTCTATCCACTGAGCCAAACCGGTTTCGGCAGCCCTCGGTACTATTTTCTTGGCATGCTGCTACTTCTCCCCTCAACTCTACGCTAATAGGAGCAATCAGAGTCGCTGTGACAGCTTCCTGCGTGAAGGGGGTGTAACAAAAGAGTAACAAAGTGAACCAATAGAAGGTCCCAACCACATGATTTCCATGTCACCACGCGAAGGAGAAATGCCATTTGCACATTCCTGAGCAGTGCTGAACTTGGTCTGTGCACTTAAGAGATAACATTATCATGACCTTTTTTCTGCTTTTACCCCCTTTTGTATAAATACCCACGCACATGCTGTGTAGGTGAGTCGTGTGCATTTGCCAGGAGGGCTGTGGCAAGAGGGCTGGACAGCTGGAATCCAGCTGCTTCCTCAAAAATCCCAGCATTGGGTGCCTGGCAACTTGTGCCAGGGCCTCTCCACCTCGCCAGGCGGCCCTGCCTGCTCCCTCTGCGCCCAGTTGCCATGGGAACCAGCATCCTCCAGCTGATAGAGCAGCTGGCACGGTGCCTTTCCTTTTCATTCTATTTGGAGCATGTTTTTCTTTTCATTTCCTGGGCTCTCAGCCTCCACTCCCCTGGGGCTCACACCACTGGTCAAGGCCATTTGTTGGAGATGAAGTTGAGATTACAGACCCCAGAGCCCTCAGATGCCACTCATGCTCCTGCGGCCCTCCCCCGCCCCGAGTCAACCAGCAAGCTCCACCCTGTGGCCTAAATTCCAGCAGGCCACTGGACCTCTTTCCTCGTGGGGGGAAAAAGAGAAACCCCAAGGTGTGTGTCTCTGGGAGGGCGGCCTCATCTGGGGGTGTTGTGAGCCTGCCCTGGCTCACAGTAGTGACCTGGCTGCTGTCTGCTGCTCCCCGAGAGGAAAAGGAGG